CTGGGCCAGGTTGGTCAGCTCAGCAAGTGTCGGTTCCTTTTCTGTGAAATGGGGACAGGACAGGCCTGCTCACAGGGTCTGTGTGAGGCTGAAGGAGGCGGCACCTCTAACACAGGTGCTTGGAGGAGCCCTTCTGGTCCTTCTTACCTGGAAATGGGCCTGGCAGGGAGCATGGCTCTCTTGGCCCCATACTGAGGTCCCGCGGTACCTGCTGCAGCTGGGCAGGCTGCTGGCCACTCGGGCCCTGAGAGCAGGAGCTGCAGGCCTCACGGAGAATAAACTGTGGCAATGTCTTGGGGGGGGTGGAGGCTGTGCACTGGGGGGCCGGTTGAGGAGGAGTTTCAGGGAGCTGCCCTATCCCCTGATATCCCCTTTGGCACATCCATGCAGGGAGCTCAGAGAAGCTTGGGTGCCCCAGGATAGACCCTAACGTGGGGTGGGGTGGGGCAGGGTCTTCGTGGGAGTTGGACTAGGCCGTCGGTGTCTGGGGACACAGCCTGGCAGGTGGGAGTGAGTGGGCAGGTGCTGCACAACCTGCTGGACTGGGGAGACCTCTGCTGGAGGAGAAGGGAAGTGTACAGTTCCCTTTCTCCAAAGGGAGACACCCCACGCACCCAGAAGGCCCAGCAGGGAGAAGGCCTCCCCCATGGCCCCCACCCCAGCCAACTTGGGACGTAGGAACAGGGAGGTCACAGCCTTGAGGCTGGAACGCCAGGGCAGGAAGAAGGCCCGAAGCCCCCTTTTCGGTGCCTTCTCTCCTGGGTGGCCATGCTGCCTAGAGGCCATTAATTGGTCCTATTCATCCTGTAATGAGATGGAAATGAGGCTTCCAGACAGAGGGGGCATTGAGCTGGGGAAGAATGGCTCCTCTTTCTAGGCCTGGAGGGGCAGACCGCCCCCCAGCCTTGCCCACTCCTCTGCTGCCCCTGGAAGCTCACTCAGCCCAGGAGCACCTTAGCCACCCAGCAAAGGGCGGCTTGAGTGCCTCTACACCAGCATTGTGGGCGACCCCCCTGTCGTAGACACATTTATCAAGTGTCAGCTATGTGTGGGGACACACTTGGAAAAGAAAACCACCAACAAAAATAGTTGTTTTCATTTCCTGAGTGTTCATCAGAAGCAGGAGTGTGGCCAAGGTCAGAGATCAGTCTGTGACTGGGATCAGGGCTCAGTATATGATGGGGGACGAGGAATCCTGTGCCCAGGATCAGAAGACAGTCTATGGTGAGGATCCAGGCTCAGTATGTGATCAAGGGGACTCAGCCTGGGACCAGCATCTAGGCCAGGGTGTGACCAGGGGCCTGTCTGTCCTCTGAGCCTTGGGCACCCTCTTCCCCCTTCCCCCACCACATCCTTGCCACCTGGGTCACCAAGGTAACCAGCCCTGAAATAGTGGGTGTTTTGGCAGCTGAGGCCTAACCTGAGTCTATCCTGAAAGACGAGCTCTGCAGCAGTTGCCATGGGAACCAAGTGGCATCCTCTGATTAGCTTGGCTTGGACACCCTCTCTCTCCCACCAACTGCTGGTTTTCACGTCACACAGGCTCCCATGTGGGGGCTGGGCTGGGGCAGCAAGGGGTAACTGGCAGGACGTGCCCAGCCTGACCCCACTGCCAGGCCCATCTCCCTGGACTCTGACTCTCTCTGCTCCTTTGTCTCAGTGTCACAGGATGGGATGGCCTGGGACACCGGACTGGGGCCTGTGGTTGGTCATAGCAGGTGGCCTTCGTCTGGAGGGACAGGGGCATCTGGAATCTGACTGTGGTTCCAGTCCCTGCTCCTCTCCCTGTCAGCCCAGTGGATAACTTGGGCTCCCATCTGCATTTGACAAGCAGCTGTGGTTCTGGGCTGAGTCACCCGAGTGAGGGCACCTGAAGTGGGAGCAGCAAAGGCCCCTCTCTGGGCAGCCTCAGTCGTCACAGTTCCCTGCCCCATGCATGTGGACACTCGGAGGTGTAGCAGGGGCCCTGGTCTGCTCGCCTCCCTGGGGTGCTTCCGAGATAACTGTGGTGTAAGACAAAGTGACATTTGTGTAGTATACTCCAGGTTGGTAGTTCTGACTGCACCCCTCCGTGCCAGCTCCAGGGCAGGTCCTCCTGGGTGTCCAGACCATCCCTCTTTGAGCCTGTTTCCTCTGCTGCAAATGGGGTGAAAATGCTGCCTCTTTAAGGTGGATGGGACTTAAGTTTCCTGTGTACTGAGGTGCCTGGCACAAAGCAGAGCCCACTGGAAGTGGAAGGAACCTGCCCAGGGTACCCTAGGAGAGCTGGCCACAGGAGGAGCAACCTTCCTTGGAGGGTGCGGGGCTGGACCAACAGCCTGGTGTGATTCTGCTGAGACTCTTCCTAGCTCAGGGAACACAGGTAACCCTTCACTTGGGCTGCCTCGGCCTGCTCAATGGGAGCAGAGAGGCCTCCCTGCACAGTGGCTGATGGGTGAGAGCATCACACCCAGACCCAGGAAGGGGCTTAGAACCAGGTCCCTCTGTTCCCAGAGCAAGGGTCCATGCAAAGCTCAGCCTTGAGCCCTCATTGTGGTGCTGGCAAGCCCCTCCCTGGGCCTTGTCACACACCAGGGAGCTGCCCGTGACTGTGCAAAGAAGGGCTGAGCAGGGTCTATGCCCACCCACCAAGGAGCAGCCACTAAGGTCCAAGCCCCTCCTCCCTGGTCATTTCTAGGTGTGTAAGCCTGCCCACCTGCCCCATCCTCCTGCTGTGTCCCACCTGGCTGGACACAGAGGACAGGAAGCCTGGCTGCTGTGTGCCCTCGGCAGAAGTACCCTGCCTCTCTGGGCCCAGGGGAAGGGTAGGCTCTGTGAGAGGAGGGAGACAAGGCTTCTGCAGTAGGTTTGAGGGGTAGAAGGCTCCCCTTCCCGCCTGTGTTCCCAGCATGGAGAATGAGGCCCCGCTGCCCACACTGGCTGGAGAGGTTCCTTCCCAACCTCGCCTCCCGTTCTTTTGCCCCTGGTGCCCCCTGCTGGCTGGTTCCCAGAACTGGCGCAGGAGCGGTGAGAAGGGGCTCCGGCACCTTTGAGTGGCCCGTACAGAACAGAACTGTGCCTGACCAGAGTCACGTGGACACTGATATTGCTGCAAATCAAAGTTGGTTCTCTGGCATCAACTCTGACCCCAATGACAACACCCACACCCATCCTTTCCCAGCCCTTTCCTGCAATTTATCCTCATGTGTCAGTAGTGGGGAGTAGTGCCCCCATTATCTTCAGATGAGGGGCTTGAGGCAGGATGGCCCATGGGTGGTGGGCCACCACGGCCCCTGTTCCTTCCCCCCCCCCAAGGATATTTTTAACGTTGCTTTTCAGAGAGAGTGGAAGGGAGAAACGGAGAGAGAGAATCGATATGAGAGAGACACATCAATTGGTTGCCTCCCGCACACGCCCCAACCAGGGCCAGGGATCAAGCCTGCAGCTGAGGTACGTGCCTGTGCCTTGGTCAGAATTGAACCCCAGACCCTTCAGTCCAGAGGCCGATGCTCTAGCCACTGAGCCAAATGGGCCAAGCCCTGTTCTTGGGCGCACCCTCTGGGATCTCTCGCAGTCCTCATTCTCACCCCCTGAGTTGAGGTCCATTCCCCCAGGCCACAGACAAGCCAGAGCTCTGAGAGGCACAGGGGACACTTCTGATGGGCACTCTATTACCTGCCCTTGGCTAGCCTGGCTCCCCTGCTCCAGCCTTGGGTGGGCAGGCCTTGCGGGGCAGTGGCCCAGCTCCAGGACAGGTCTCCGTGCTGGACTTCAGTAATGCCATCTGCTGTCTCCTGGCCACCTCACAAGTGGGTGCAGTGTGAGGGTGCTGGTGCGGGGTGCCCGCCTGGCCTGCACCTGGCTCGTCCTAGGCTCTGGGGAGGCTGCTCACCCTGATCTGATTGAGTCCACCCTGGCCTGCTTTGCTGACAGTGCAGGGGCCCTGGCATCCCTGAGGACAAACAGGATGGCAGCAGCCGGAGTTCTTTGCAGTGGAGCCATCTGGGTGGCCTCAAGCATGGATTTTGAACAGAAGGCCTGGACAAGCCTCAGCCCATCAGTGCATCCTCCAGACCCTGGCCCAAGACGGGGGTGACGCCCCTGCTCCTCTTCCCTCAGCAGCTCCCCAGTACCTCAAGGCTGTCCTGTTCAGGGTCCTAAAACTACAGCCACTGAGGGGGGATAGGGCCAGGATGGAGGAAGACCCAGGAGGGGCTAAAAGGACATGGCTGGGGTCAGAGCAGGGGCAGCTGGAGGGGCCCAGAGGCCCAGGTGGAGGCCTGTGTTCTCCGGCTCTCTCAGCAGCAGGTGGCCAGTTTTGCCAGGTCTGAGGGAGGCTCAGTCTGCCTGGGCCCTGGGTGTGGGGCCATCAGGGGTGGGACACTGGTCACCTCTGGTATTCCGGCGAGGGTGGGGGAAAGAGCACACAGGTCATGACTGTGAGTGGGGGGTAATGAGGACACTGAGGCTCAGAGGAAACGGACTGAGGACCATGGGAAGGGGGTTCCAGCAGGGCTGGAGGATCTGTGCACAGGACTGAGAGCCTTGTCAAAGGGTCCCCCCTGCCCTCACCCCAGCACCAGGACCTTATAACACAGCGGCTGGGATGGCCTGGGGTGTGATTCATTCATTCCTCAGACCCCCATGGGACTCCAGCTTTGTCCACCGCACACTAGGGCCAGATTCAGAGCCAGGGAAGGCCCTAGCACAGGTGCCTATAGACAGAGAGCTGAGAGCACTGTGACCCCAAGGGGGTGCCCAGGGAGTGTGCATGTACCTTGTCCCAAAGACCCTCCCTGGGACAACCCTTCCCCGACACCCCTGCCTCACACCCCCGTGTCTCACCTTATCCAGGCCTGCACTAGGCCTCCTAGCTGACCCTCCATGGTGCTGTGTGGGTTCCCACACCAGAGCCTCACACATGTGGATCTCACCCCACTGGCTGCTGTGTCTGAAGTCTGGAGTGACCTCCAGAAGTCACTCTCTGAAAGACATGATCCCTGCTCTCTGGTTTTCTCCAGGTGGCTGGAAGCTGTGGTCCCTGTGGGGCGAGTGCACGCGGGACTGCGGGGGAGGCCTGCAGACTCGAACACGCACCTGCCTGCCTTCCCGGGGCATCGAGGGTGGTGGCTGCGAGGGGGTGCTGGAAGAGGGCCGCCTGTGCAACCGCAAAGCCTGTGGGGGTGAGTGCATAGAGGGGCCAACCAGGGGCTTACTTCTACTGGTGCCCTCACCCCCTCCCTGCGCTGGGCCAGGCCAGGTGGAGGGTGAAGGCAGAAAGGAAGGAGGGCCCTGGGACCAGGCCAGGCAGGGAAGGGGCGGAGCCGTAGGTGTGGAGCCTGACCTGGAGCCAGGTGGATGCGGGGAGAGGGCACCAGTAGAAGGGCGGCTCCGGAGGAGGGGGGTGTAGCTGGGACTAGGTGGGGCTCTCTTCTCACCTGTCGACTGGGAGCTTGGGTGCTGCCTCCCTCTGCCACCCAGCCCTGGGCAGACCTGTCTGCCCCAGTTTCATCCAGCCTCTAGAACATAAGTCTCTAATAAGAGTATCTAATGACCTCATACATATTTTAGCTGCTTCCATAAAGTTAAATCAAGTTATAATGAGACTGTCATTCTTCGAGTTGGTTTTTCCTCGATGAACTTTGCTGGGAAGAGAAGCTCATCTCAGAAGCCTGGAGAGGGCCCGGGG